AATGGTGAACCTTATTGCAAAGAAACAGAGTACAACAGTATCTCCAATACAGGAGTAAAGGATAACAGCCTTGGATTTACAAACCATACCAACAGGAGTGCACAAAATCTGGTTAATTAAGCCAAACCGATTGAAACCGAAAATTCAGTTTGGACTGAAACTGATGCCAAATATTTGATTCGGTTTCGGTTTATGTTTTTCTAGAATTTTGGTTTTCGGTTCGGTTTGAATATAAGTGTTTGGTTAATCTAGTTGAACCAAAAATCGAAATTATACATAAATAATTTATAAACCCAATAGAATGATATTTTATCTGCACCCAAGCCCATTGATAATTTGATAGAAAAGAATTGATAAGAAAAAATAGAACCCCACTAGTTAACCAAAGTCAATGTTTTTATCCTACACTAGTTTGGTTTGATGAAAGTATTAACTATCTAATTACTTTTATTTTTGTAACTCACGACTTGTAGATTTTTTCACTTTTTTTTTTTCTCTGGCAAAATTGGTAGCCGAACCGATTCAACTGATTGAGTCGGTTCGATTTGTTTTTGGGAAATTTACACCTCTGCTATAAGATTTGTAAAATATTGAGTATTTACTGCCAACAAAATGTTATTTGTATATATACCTAAAAGATATGACTTAATTAGATCTTTACCATACTGTAAGTTTTCAAAACACAAACATCTTCTCCCCTTAATTAGCGAGTGATAATTATCGCATATATTTGAAAAAAAATGCTAGGTGAATATGGTAATGTTATATATCTAATATAATATCATATTTGACTAAAAAAACAGAAAGCCAACGATTTTTGAGACAACGAAATATAAAAGTAGACCCGATTTTTGAATAGACAGTATTATTGCGTTTATATTTAGTATATGTTCAGTTTTTTTTTGAATAGGCAATATATATTGCGTTTATAGTCTGTATATATTTAGGGAGTAATTATCTCATATTTGTTTATGTCAAGATATGACTTTAACGAAAATATTCATTTGTGCTTGATTTTGTTTATCTCTGGTTTATGTTAAGTATATACAAATATACAACATACATATACATAAAATATACACTCGAGATTCTCGTAATTCAAGCCAGATCGGGACACACATGTACATAAAGTATACTTTAAATATACACTCGAGTTGCAATCGTTCCTCAAAATTGATTTCAGAACCCTCATATATATAAAATATATTTAAGATATACACTCGAGATTCTCGGAATTCAAGCCAGCGACAGATCGGGACACACAAATACATAAAATATACTCTCGATGTTCAATCGTTTCTCATTTTAGAACCCAGATTAAGACCCGGAACCGCGGCCATGACCCTTTTCTCTGCATCAGCAAGCTTCTCGACCTCGCCGGCCATCGAGAGAGAGAGGAGTGGGTTATCCAGTTGGATTAGGGCTCGATATTTTCAATCGAAAGGTGATGAGGAATGCGTCCGAACCCGCCGATCGCCGACGAGAACACGAAATACCATCAAATCAAAAACATAATCTATAAAAATTCTGATATAAGATTCTAAAATACAGCGAAAAATATGAAAGCAAATTACTTAGATCTCTGTCTCATCTCTCGGCGCTTCCTCTTCAATCTCTTCATGCGCGTCTCTTCCACTAATAAAAATATATATGAAAAGAAACACACAGATTATACATATTGCAGCAAAAATCAATGTAATCAAAATTAATTTGTATGATATAGATGACACATGGGTTAGAGATGAGTTCACTTTCACACTCATGGTGAAAGGTGAATTTCAACTGAATAGTGACGCCGCCGAGTCTATAGAAACCTGGAAGAGAAATGAGTGTGGTGTGGATAAAAACCCTAGTTGCAATTGAGGTTATTGGAATGAAGGCTATCTAAAGAAAAAGAAAAGAAGTAAGAAATCGGGGGAAGGAAATAAATGAAAGTGAGAGAAAAGAGAAAGAGATGTAAATTAATAACCCCGTAGATGTGCAAATATTTATGATAGGTTTTCCAATTTCGCTAATAAAATATTATAGCAGTATATCTGCAAATATTTTGTGATGACTTCATTCTAGGCGTAATTTTCTCTTTGTTTTTTGGTGTTCATATGGGGAAAATTAAATCAGTATGTTTAGTTCAGTTTCGGCGATTGAACACCTACATATTAAGGAAACAACAAAAACAGATAAACAAAGAGAAAGTTGCAAAAACTAACAAAACATCCACAAAAATCGTAATCTCAGTGAGAAAATAAGACAAACAAAACACAAAAGGCCCCATTCTAACAAAACAACAAAAACAAAAGAGCCAATAGGTCCCTCTTTACAAATAAGCTTGAGATGAGGAGATAATCCTAAAGAAACCGCAGAAAGTAAGAAGCCAATTGGATGTTAATCAACTCCCTGGGCTTTATACTAATTGTTCACAAAATAATAAAAAATAAATAAAACAAAGTCTGATCCGATTAGTTCCTTCCGTGGAAGGTGAATTTAGAAAATTCAAGCCATTCTTGTTGAGCTCCATCCACAATTTCCTTAAGTGTGAACCGTATTTTTTTTTTTTTAAGAAATATATATAATTCAAAGATTTCAACTCATGTGGGGGATTGTAATTATTGAGTGTATTAAATATGGATCCCACTTGATTTTGATTAAAGACTCCCAAACCACCAGGCTAAACCACCACTTTCTCTTGATTAATTTAATAAAAACTAATTTGTCCAATTGTGCTGAAGACGTGTGAAGATGGAGATTCCTTTGTCATTTGGGACAACTTGCCTCAATTAATTGTAATAATTGATTAATCAGGTGACTTATGGCCAGGCATTATTTGTTCTTTGTTCCCTATAAATAGGGTGATCGGCATAAGGAGAAAATGCACAGAAGAAAAGAAGAGAAAAATATAGAGAAAGGAAGAATAGAAAAATATAAAAAATATTTTTTTTTTTTTTTATCAAAATAACAAAAGATTGATATTTTTATTTCTATTTTAAGTGCTCAATTCTCGACTCCGATCCAGTTCGCAGGAGCTCGTAAATCTGGTGTGCTACAGATTTAGAGACGTTTGTCGTTGTATCTTTGGGGAAGTTACGCCTAAACCGTTAGCTGCCACACGGGGCGTATTCTTCTTGCGGAAAGAGTTTTACTCGCCTCGGCTAAAATCTTTCCGTTTTGTTTTTTTTTTTTTTTAAGTTTTAATTTATTTTTCAGTTCGATTATAATTTTCTATTTTTTAGATTATTTGTAAGAACTGAAAAATACATATCAGTTTGTAGGATTCCCGTGTATTTTATACCCAGTTAGTAACAATCGCAAGAAGAATAACTCAACCTACTGGACTGATGGCTTCCACCGGAAATGGTTCCAACACTCAACATCCGATCAATCATGTACCTGCTGTTCATGTCCCTACTGCTGATAAGCCCGAAAAATTCAATGGGCTTGATTTTAAAAGGTGGCAACAAAAGATGCATTTTTACCAGACTACTTTGGGTTTGGTGAAATACCTGAAGGACGACCCCCCGGTAATTGCTGAAAATGAGACAAATGCTGAACTACGCACTGCGTACGAAGCTTGGGGGCAAGGGGATTACCTTTGTCGTAACTATGTCCTGAACGGACTTAGTAATGAGTTGTACAATGTGTACAGCTCGGTTGGTTCTGCCAAAGAGCTTTGGGCTGCTTTGGAGAAGAAGTACAAGACTGAGGATGCCGGAGCGAAGAAATTCGTCGTCGGCAAGTTTCTTGACTTCAAAATGGTTGACACTAAGACCGTTGTGTCTCAAGTGCAAGAGTTCCAACTCATCTTGCACGATATCCATGCTGAGGGAATGTCTCTGAGCGAGTCATTCCAAGTTGCGGCTGTGATTGAAAAACTGCCGACGGGTTGGAAAGACTTCAAGAACTACCTCAAACATAAGAGGAAGGAAATGAGTCTTGAAGACTTGATTGTTCGTCTTCGTATTGAGGAGGACAATCGTAATTCATCGGGAAAAATTCCGATGATGGAGGCTCGTGCTAACTTGATAGAGCAAGGCAACTTGAGCAAGAGGAAGTCCCTAGACAAAGGGAAGCAGCCTGCCAAGGTTTGGAAGTTTACCGGAACTTGTTATAATTGTGGAAAGCCGAACCATATGGCTAAAGACTGCAAGAGGCCAAAGAAGGCTGGGTCAAAGAAAGGTAAACCGAGTGCCCTTGTGGCTGAACACGGCCCTGTGCCGGGTGAACTGACCGACTTTGATATGTCGGCTGTGGTGTTTGAAGCCAATATGGTGGATAACCCAAGGGAGTGGTACATCGATACGGGTGCCACTCGTCATGTGTGTTCCGATAAGGAGGTATTCTCTGAATACACTCATGCTAAGAGTCGGAAACTTTACATGGCAAACTCCGCCACGGCTGATGTGGCTGGAGTGGGCACTGTGGTGCTGAAGCTGACTTCTGGAAAGGAGTTGAAGCTTAAGGATGTTCTGCATGTCCCAGACATCCGCAAGAATTTGGTCTCCGGATCTCTTCTTGTTGAGCATGGATTTAGGCTGGTATTTGATGCTAAGAAATTTGTTCTTAGCAAGTTTGGAACTTTCCTTGGTCGTGGCTATCTCGACAAGGGTATGTTTAAAATGAATGTAATGGCCGTGAGCCGTGTAACCGTTTTAAATGATAATGAAAAGCCTATTTCTGTTTATACCGTTGAGTGTACTGATTTATGGCATATTAGATTGGGACACGTAAATCGAAATGCAATTAAACGGTTGATGAATTTAGAATTAATTCCAAATTCTAAAATTGAATCACATAAGAAATGTGAAATTTGTATTGAAGCAAAAATGGCTAAGTTGCCTTTTCACTCGGTGGAAAGGTGTACTGAACTATTAGGCTTAATCCATACTGATGTATGTGATATGAAAAGTGTGCAAACAAGAACAGGTAAAAAGTATTTTATTACTTTTATCGATGATTGCACGAGGTTTTGCTACTTATATTTATTAAG